TGTTCTGACTACTGCCTCTTGGTCCAAGTATAGGTTTCGTATTAGCACAATTAAATGTTCTGGGATTCCCATTCTTCTCAGAGTTAGCCATAGTTGTTGTGATTCACACAGTCAAACCCCTTTGCATAATCAGTGAAACACGGATAGACATTCCTCTGGTACTCCCTGCTTTCAGCCAAGATCCATCTAACATTAGCTACAATATTCCTAGTTCCACGATCACTTCTAAATCCAGCCTGCCCTTCTAGTAGTTCTCTGCTGATGTGCTGTTCAGTCCTTTTTGGATAATCTTCCGCAGAATCTTGCTTGCATGTGATATCAGTGATACTGTTCTATAGTTTCCACACTCTGTTGGGTCACCCTTCTTTGGAATGGGAACAAATATAGATCTCTTCCAGTCAGTTGGCCAGGTGGTTGTTCTCCAGATTTCTTGGCACAACTTGGTACGCACATCCAGGGCAGCATCTGCTACCTGAAATATGTAAATTGGTAAAACCATCAATTACTGGGGCCTTATTTTTTATTCAGTTCTTTCCAAGCAGTTTGAACTTCTTCCTTCATCACCACAGGCTCTTGCTCATATGTTGTTTCATGAAATTCTTCTGTTTCTGCCAATTCGTTTTGGTATCATGACTCTGTATACTCTTTCCATCTTCCTTTAATACTTCTAGGATCATTTACTATTATGCCTGAAGCATCCTTAAGTACTGCAACTTGAAGCTTGGATTTCTTCTTCAGTTCCTTAAACTTCAGAAATGATGAGGGGAGTTAAGCCCCTTTGATTTTCTTACTCCTGCTCTTTGCACATTATAATACAATGGAGTGCTTTAATTCTATTGATATGGAAAGGCTATTGATAACTAGATTAGATGATGAAAATCAATATGATATGTCTATTAGCCTTTGATGGAAAAGATTAATAAGCTTTTTCAGTGATTTAAAAGCTGCACTTGTAGCAACTGAAAGTGATTATTGCAAATAAAGGTTGGTTCAGTCATTTCAAATTCAGGGCAAATTTACCTAAGTTTAAAGGATAAGGCAAAGAAGAAAGTTCTGCTTATATGAGCGCTTTATAAGTGCTGTGATTCATTTACTTGTACCGTTGAAAACATTATTGATGAAGAACTTCACAAATGCTTTATCCGGTATGTCAGGACATCATTGTCTAAACTATCTTACAAACTATATATGTGTAATTAATCTTTATTTTTACTGTAGTGTTGTGTTCTATAATGTTTAAAGCTACTTAGAAATGCGTGTTTTATGTGCAGAGAAATGTAAGATATATGTGTACTGCAATCAGTTAACTCTTTGACTATTTGATGCTAAAGAAGAGCTGTATGTACCTGTTTTGATTCTTTAAATAAGTTCTTCCTGTTCAGTCATGATATACAAAATAGAATTGAAAAAGAACAGAATTTGTGAAATGTGTATGTCTTGGGACAGTAATGGATCAAGAAAAACGAAAAGTCAACACCCTCCTAAAAATTATTATCTTCCTAGAAAATAAGGGCAATCAATATGCATAGAGTAACCAGATCTCTTGAATGAATGGCAGAGTTAGAAATCACATTACCTTGCTCAAAAATGGTGGTGGTTGAATCAATTGGATTGTAGACATTTCCACTGTCTCTCTATCAAGTTGGAATTGATTCATAGCTGACCCTTCAGTGGCTTTTCAGAGGCTGTAAATTGCATAATTTTTTGCTGTTCTGGTTCATTGTCTGTCATTGTCGAACTGGTTCAAATTCCTGGCTCTAGCATAACTGAAATATAACTTGAAACATACGAGATTGGGCTTTATTTGTAACCTGTCCGCTCTGTCAACTGCATTAGTCCTTTGCCACTCAAAATACAATGACTTGGGTGTGAATTTTGGGGTTTTTTCCCTTTTGCTCTCAGGTTACTTCACGCTGTGAAGAGGAAAACTTTATAGCCCGATGTCAGTCCAGTGCTCAGAATAAGCAGATAGAAGAGAATTCTTTGAATTCAGCCAAAGAAGAACCTCCAGTTCTTGAGAGGGAGCCTCCATTTTTGGAAGGACCTTTGACTCAGTCAGATCTTGGAGGTGGACATGCTGAGTTGCCTCAGCTGACCTTGTCTGTACCTGTGGCTCCAGATGTCTCTCCACGGCTTGCTCTAGAGTCTGAGGAATTGCTAGTTAAACGTTCAGGTAATGTGGGAATTGCAGGTCTAGATGTATGTGGGTATACTGAGAGAAGACAGGAGATTTTTACTGTGTTTAATTGGAAAGCTAGTAATGTAATAGTATACCTTTATCTCTAACTATTCATACATACTTCTGGCTTATTTCAACTCACTTGTTAAATCCACCTTTTTTTTTATCATATACATCAATAGTAAAAAGCTGTTTTCTGATTATCATGCACATTAATAATAAAAATGTGGCAGTAATGAACACTGAAGTGCAAGACAAGAGTGCAAGACTCGTTGTGATGATTATATTAATTTTACTGGTCCCTTTGTCCTAGTGATTTGGTAGGTAGGTAATGTTATAGTCGCTCTCCAACCCCCAAACCAAGTAATACGTTGCTATCTGGAACCTTACTGCCTTGATAAATAAGGAATGTTGGGGAAGTACTGACAATTTGGATGTCATTACTAACACTGAATTATTGGCACACTCACAAGAAATACTATTTTACAATAAAAGATCGCTATCATTCTTCTGTCAATAATCTTTAAGATCATGAAGAGTAACCACTATAAACATTTCAGACATTAGGGTTTTGGGGAAAGGTACTTCACTGGACTGCTCTGAAAATTGGTGGTCTATGGCACCAATCTGTACATTATTTAGGGAAGGAATGTCACAATTTATTACCCTCATGTGTAAAGTAGATACCATAATGTAGTATAAAAAAGGTGTCATATAATTTACTTGGCACATGCAGTTAATTAGTGTTAATATTTCCTCATAATTAATTGCCAGTTGGTACCACGATCCTTGTGGTTAGGTGCCAAGTCTTCAGTTCTATTCATAGCAACCCCGCATGACAGCTAAGAACCATGGAGTTTTCTAGACTCTGAAGTTTTCTAGACTTTATTATGGGAACAGATAACTAGATATATGTTGTGCAGAGCCTCTCTGTATGTTTGAAACATCAACTTTTTAGTTAGTAGCTAAACAACCAATGTTCCTCTATCCTACAAAGTATGTAAGTGCCCTTTTTGGGGGGAAAGTGCGAAAATTTAAAGCTATCTGTTTGTGTTTAGAATTCAGGCATTATTTTATTTACCTTAATCTTTTTTATTTATTTTGCTGTTGTTGTACATTTTCTTCCTTCCCCTGTCACTTCCCCACAGCCCACCCAGCAATGCACCCTTTGTTCCAGATTGTTATACATATAACAATCATATATTCCTTTATTAATAGCAGTGTTAGATGGTATTTCTTGTCCTTTTGTGATTGAGATAATTCACTTAGCATAATATCCTCCAGGTTCCCCCCATGTTGTATAATGGTTTATGAGCTAATGGTTTTTCGAACTGCTGCATAATAATCCATTGTGTGAATGTACCGCAATTTTTCTATCCATTCATTTATTGTTTGAGCTTATGTTGCTTCCGTTTCTTTGTGAATAACAGCAATAAACATGGTGTGATTCATGGCTCTGATTTGCATTAACATTCCCTTCATATAATTGTCCTTAGAACAGATTAATTGCTATAATGCAGTTCTTTTAAAATTTTTTACACTGAAAATTGTATTTTTTTTATTACTTTAACTCTTTATTTTAGAGTTGATTTCCTCCATACTTTTTTGCTACGAAGGTGAGAAGAAAATGCTAGCAATGTTGTGTCTGTCTCATTTTGTGTGTAATACATAATAATGTTTAAATAAGCTTGTGCCAAGTTACGTAGTCAACTAATGAAAGACGTGTGTTTCAGGAAACTATGAAAGTAAGCGTCAGAGAAAACCAACTAAGAAACTTCTTGAATCCAATGATTTAGACCCTGGATTTATGCCCAAGAAGGGCGATCTGGGCCTTTCTAAAAAGGTATGTTTTAATCAGTTCCTAAAAGGGATTAAATAGTCATCTGGGAGATAAGCCATTTTTAAAAAAATAACTTTAGTTTTTAATACTATTGCACATGAACATAGAAGTATCAGAATGTCATTATGCCTGGGTTTGGAATTATGGCAGGCTTTTCCCCATAGGTCTCTTACAGTGTTCCATGCCACAGTAAATTGTAGCCCTGAACAATTGCCTCAGGGCTGCAAGCACTGAAACAGCTTGCACAGTGGAAAGGTGGGAAAAAAGAAAAAGGCAGAATGTCAATATGTATGATTTGCCTAAGGGATCTTTTATTAAGAAGACAATTTTATACCTGTATTGACATTTGTATGAATTTATTTTTGATACATTTCAAATGAAAAATGTTTCTAAGCTTATTTTCATTACTTTTCTGAATCCAAAAAACTGAATTTGGTATCTTCCAATCACTAGTATTATTATATTTGAGGAACGGCCTAGTTTAGCTATTATACAGGCAGAAATATGTGGAATTTCAGTTTGCAAACTTCCTTGTTAATAGCAAGGAAGTATTATTTGTGATTGTAAATATAATGGATGTCTAGATATTTATTCTATATCAAATCCTTTGCTTCCTTTATGTGTGTAAACCAACTTAGAAATTTAATTTTAGAATGCACACATTTTCTCTTTTAAAAAATTAATTAAAATACTCACCTGTGTTTGCATGAAATAATTTACATATGCTCTATACTTTAAATTTCCATTATGTCTCAATATAGTTTTTTTCTTTAGTAAAACTGTTGCTTATTTTTTTTAATTTATACTATATATCTGCAAAGTAACTTTTTTCTTAATTCATTTACTAATGCTCACTTTCCTCCCTCCCCCAATTCCCTATTACAGTAATGAGCTTGTACAGTTTTTGTCTTTTTGTTACTGTGATATTTCAGCGAAATTTCCTCTTTTTTTCAATGCTGCATAATATTCCCGTGTGTAAATGTACCATTGTTTCTTTATCAGTTCAGTTTTTGATAGGTACCTGGACTGTTTCCATCTCTTTCCTACTGTGAATAATGCAGCAGTAAACATGGATGGGCAGATATGTGTCCATGTGCCAAGTCTCATTTGTTTAGGGTATATTTCCAGTATTGGTATAATTGATTCAAATGGAGCTTATTTCCAGCTTTCTAAAGAAAAGCCAAGACTGCCCACCATAGTGCTTCTACCATTTTTACATTTTCATTAGAAGTGTATAAGAGTCTAATCTCTATGTGTCTTTGCCAGCATTTTTTTGCTGCCCTGTTAAACCTTTCTGGGAGGAGATCATATATCTCATTGTTTTGATTTACATCTCTCTGATAGCTAGTGTGGTTTTTTTTAGTATTAGTTCATTTACAGAGTTCTAATACATTGATTTCAAGAACACATTCTTCCAATTTTCCTCACCCTCCCATCCATCAAATTGTACAGCTCCACGATTAATCTATCTTCCCCCTGCACATCCTCATCCCCCTGCTTCTACCTCCCCACTCCCGTTGGGTTCTTACACTCATTTTACAATAATGGTTTTATATGCTAGCTAGTGATTTTAAACATTTTACATGTTTGCTGGCCAGTTCACTTTCTTCTTTGGTGAAGCTTCTGTTAATCTCTTCTGCCCATTTTGTGATTGTGTTATCTGTCTTGTCTTTTTCTTGTTAATATAATAGTCCTTGGTTTTAGCCCTAGGTCCTTGATCCACTTTGAGTTGTTTTTTTGTGTATGGAGTGAGATGTGGATCTTGCTTAAATTTTTTACAGATGGTTTTCCAATTGTGCCAACATAATTTTTTAAAAAGGCTGTCATTTCTCCACTTCACTGATCTCAGCATCCTGAAACACAACCAGGAGAGGATAAAATAGATGAATGGGACTTTGTAAGAATAAAATCCTTTTGCCCATCCAAAAACTTCTCCAACAGGGTAAAAAGGGAAGCCACAGACTGGGAAAAAATATTTGGCAATGACATGTTTCATAAGGAACTTACATCAACAAGATAAAGGGAAACAACCCAATTGAAAAATTAGCACAGGATATGAACAGACACTTCACCAAAGGAGACATTCAGATGGTGAACAAACACATGAAGTTCAAGTTCCCTTTTCATTCTTTTGGATAAATTTTTTGATGCACACAAGAATTTGATATTTAGAAGGTACCATTCATCTATACACCATTTCCATGTTCTGGGTTTTAAGTTATCACAAAACATGCTTATTATGTTGAGTTAATAATTTGTTGGCTTGGTTCCTTCACTCTTACCTCTTTTTTAATTTTTCGCTGTCTGCAGGGATAACCCAATCTAATTTTGCCATTCTTTTATTGTACTTTATATCCAGTAAAGCTGTGGTTATATTGCTGTGCAGCACCTTTCCTTCTTTCACATATTTGAAATCCTAACAGTTTTGTAAGGTGTTATAGACAGATAAGAAGGCCAGGGGAAGCAGGGGAATATTTTTGATCAGGAAAGTGATGTTTGTAGTTAACGGTCAATTTAGAAACACTTAATGGAGCATGTTGAAAAGTACTAGATGTAAGTCAAGTGATGAGTATCTTCAAAGAAAGTAGAGATTAAAGCCAGTTAACTGAATGGATAAAGACATTAGAGGAGTTCTCAGTAATTTTAAGATGCTGCTGGTTTGGTTGTTAAAATGTGACCTATTCCTAAAGTATATGTTGATTTCCCCCCACCCCCGAAAGTGTTAGTATTTGACAAATACAGAAGTACTTTGCATTACTATTTTAGTATATAAAGGGAAATGTACCACAGACTGCTTTCAAAGAATACTGAGTAGTTCCCAGCAATAAAATGCTCAGGTCTTGATTGTTCTCTAGAATAGCTTTGCTGTTGTTGTTGTTGTTATGTGCCATCGAGTCGCTTGAGACTCATAGCTCGCCTATGTACAACAGCCCTAAACCCTGCTCTATCCTGTGCCATTCGCACCACCTCTGACACACCCATCCTGATTACCCCAGTCACTGAATCAATCCACCTGATAGAGGGTCTTACCCTCTTGCACCGTACCTCCACCCTCCCAAGCATGATGTCCCTCTCCAAGGACCCGTCCCTCCTGGCAACATGTCCAAAGTATGTCAGACGAAGCCCCAGAATCCTTGCCTCCAAGGAGTAGCCTGCTTTAACCCTCTCAAGGATGAATCTGTTTGTTTTCTTGTCAGTCCATGGTACATTCAGTACTCTTCTCCAGCACCACAGCTCAAAGGCATCAATTCTTTTTCTATCCTCCTTGGTCATTGTCCAACTCTCTGATGCGTAACAAGTGATTGCAAAAACCATAGCCTGTATCAGACACACCTTAGTCTCCAGAGTGACACCATTGCTCTTCAGTACCCTGGAGAGGTCCCTAATAGCAGACTTTCCCATCATAATACGTTTTTTTATTTCCTGGCTACTGGTGCCAAGAGTGTTGACCATGGAGCCAAGCCGACTAAAGTTGTTAACAATCTCAGTCTCTTCATCAACCATCCTGATGCTGCCAGTTGGTCCAGGGGAGAGAATCTATGTCTTCTGGGCAGTGAGCCTCAATCCATACTGAAGGCTACAGTCCTTGACCCTCTCCAGCAAGCATTTCAGGTTCTCCTCAGTTTCAGCAAGCAGGGCTGTATCATCTGCATATCACAGATTATTGATCTTCCACTAATCCTGATGTCCCATTTCTCCTCATAGAGCCCAGCCTCTTGGATAATCTGTTTGCATACAGGTTGAAAAGGTATGGAGATAGGACACATCCCTGGTGTATACCTTTCCCAATTTTGAACCATGCCGTTTTTCCCTCCCTGGTCTGTTCTGACGACTGACTCCCTCTTGGTCCAAGTATAGATTTCTCATTAGAACGATCAAGTGTTCTGGGATTCCCATTCTTCTCAGAGTCAGCCACAGTTTGTTATAATCTTCACAGTCAAATGCTTTTACATAATCAATGAAACACAGATAGACATTCTTCTGGTATTCCCTGCTTTCAGCTAAGATCCATCTAGCATTAGCTACAATATCCCTAATACCATGACCCCTTCTAAACCCAGCTTGGACTTCTGGCAGTTCTCTGCTGATGTGCTGTTCCAGTCGTTTTTTGGATAATCTTTAGCTTTACACAGTTAAATACACCTTTGGTGCCTATGGATCCATTGTGAGGATTTTTGTTTTCTTGATCTTGAAATGTAATCTGTATTGAAGACTGTAGTCTTTGATCTTTTGCAGAAAGTATTTCAAGTCCTCTTCACTTTCAGCAAGAAAGATTTTGTCATCTACATAATGCAGGTTTTTGATGAGTCTACATCTAATCCTGATGTCGTATTCTTCATACAGTGCAGCTTTTAAAATTATTTGTTGATTTTACAGATTAAGTAAGAATGTAGAAATGAATGATGCACACCTTTATTGACTTTTAAATAATATGTTATTCCCTTGCTCTGTTTGGTGAATAAACTCTGGTTCTAGGGTTTGCTTGACCATGATTAAGTGTTCTGAGATTCCCATTCTTCTCAATGTTGCCTCTCTTTGTGTGCTTTTGCATGTTCAGGGCGTATCTGTTTGATGAAATATGTCAATCCATGCCCTCTCAGTTCCTAGGGGTCCTATTTTTATTGCCATTATGTTCAGTGAAACTTGAATGTCTTCCCTCATTTCCATTGGTTCTTGGTCATATGTTACTTTCTAAGATGGTTCCATATCAACCAAATCTTTCTGATCCATTGATTCTTTGTATTTCTTACATCTTCTTTTGATGCTTGCTGCATCATTGTGATGATTTGCCGGTAGCATCCTTCAGTATTGCAACTCAAAGCTTGAAGGTTTTTTTTTAGTTCTTTCAACTTAAGAAATGCCAAGTATGTTCTTTGAATTTTTTATTTCCTAACTTCAGGTCTTTGTAGTTTTCATTAAATACTTCACTACTTTTCATTATAATACTTCATTTTGTTCTTGTGCTGCCCTTTGAAAATACAAATTGTCATCACCAGACCAAT